CCCAGCGATTTTTTTTTAAAAATTTTTTTTGTAATGTTTCACTTTTTTGGACATTTCATAGAAAAAATCAACCACTCGAAGCTTTTCCCCCAACCCGGGACCACGCGACTGTGAACGTAAAGAGAAAGAGAAAGAAAAAGAGAAAGGATTTCACATTAAAAATTATGCGCAGTACTTTACCCAAACAGTCTTCACTTTTTGTTTTTGAGGGCTAAAAATACCCCTGCTGTTTACCCAATCTTACGGTGAAACTTATTCCACCCTAATTCCCTTATTTTTGGGAATTTAACTCAGTATTTAACCATAAAAACCCTAAATTCACGTGGGGGGGGTTTTTGTTTAAAAAAAAAGTGATATAAAATTTTTTTAGCAGGGTTTTTAAATACTTTTTGAAATCCTTCACTCAATTCTGGGTTTATTTCTAGCCCCAACTTTTAAGCTGAATCAAACCCCATAAGTCCCGAATAGAGTTATGTTGTAAACGGTTCGTTTTGTTTTCTTCCCATCCCGCCCACCCCCTTTCCTGCCCCACCCCCGTCCCGGCTCCGTCTTCTTTTCCCCCCCCCACCCACGTCCCTGCTTCCCGTCTTTTTTTCCTGCCCCACCCCTCGCCCTGCTCCGTCTTTTTTTTCCCCACCCCCACCCCCCTCCCTGCTCCGTCCTTTTCCCTGCCCCACCCCTCGTCCCTCTCCGCCTTTTTCCCCCTCCCCCCACCCATCGCCCCCTCCCTCCGCCCTTTTTTCCCTGCCCCACCCCTCGTCCCTGCTCCGTCCTTTTCCCCCCCACCCCCTCCCTGCCCGTCTTTTTTTCCCCAACCCCCCCCAACCCCTCGTTCCTGCCCAACCCTATTTCCTGCCCGTCTTTTTTTTTTTCCCTGCCCAACCGCTTTTTCCGCCTCAACTTTCGTTAGTTTACACCCCCCAAAACACCCTTTGTCTACTCTACTAATTGTTACCGGTAACACATATTGTTACCTTGAAGCGAATTCTGCTGCCCTTCTCTCCCTACTTTTGGACTTTCTGATTTGTTACCAGGGTATTTGTAACCATTAACAACTGATTCTTTTATGATTAGGGGAAACCCAAATATGTGACTTTTTAAATGTCTTTATCTTTTCTTTACTCATGTTTCTGGTCTTAATGTTAAACGCATCTTTTTTCTACACAGTTTCACCATTTGTCGATTTAATTTTATTGATTAATTTTTAAAATCCTAATCTTTTTTAACTGCAATTGGTTCCAGCTAAAAACTAAATATCTATAACAAAAATTGTTTAAAAACATTGTTTAAATTTTTTCCCCGCATGGGTTGACGAAATTTTAAACAGAATGATTAATTTAAAATAAAAATTTAAGACTTTTTTTGACTTTATAAACTTAAGACGTACCCGAATTTTCAAATTTAATTGTTTTGTGAAGATCGCAACTCCAAGTCAAAACAATATTCCCCTGATTTTCCATTACCAACTAATGTAACTATGTTTTCCCTGACAACCAATTTCACCAAGTTACCCTGACAACAATGTAACCATTTTTCCCCCAAACTAAATCAAATTAACATTTTACCCTGCAACTAATTAACCATGTACCCCCCTACAAAAAAATAACCAGTAAATCCATGTTACCCTGACAAAATTTTAAACAATTACCCCACAAAATTTAACATGTTACCCCACAACTAATGTAATCAAAATTACCCCTACAACAATGAACAGACCCGACAACTAAGAATCATTGTTACCCGACAAAACCCCCAAGTACAAATTATCTAATGGGGGTAGCAAAACACGAAACTTACTTTCATTTTCAACTTCACAATATTAAACCTGGTTTCAAAAACAATGAAAGTCAGGTGACGTTATTTCAAAATGGTTTAGAAAGTCATGTACATGGTGTGGGTCAGTGTTCATTTTAAAAAATGCGGTCCCCCCTAAAGGGATGGGGTTTTTCTCACACTGTATCATAAAAGCGTTCTAGGTAAAATAACGAAAAAATACTTGTATGAGTCTGGTGGGAAATTCTTCTGCTTCTGCCATATTGTAAACTAAACACAATGATACGTACTTTTTTAATAAAATATTTCAATGACAAAAAGTTATAACACTATTCAAGATTTTCTGCTTTTTTTTTTCAATTCCACTGTTTTTAACTTTCCCCCCTTTAACTTTGACTCTTCAGCTGTCCCCTATTTCTTTCTCTCGGGGGTTTCCATGACAAAGCAACAAAAACGCGCAAAGTTTTTAACGAATATCGCAAAAAGTGGGAGCAGCGTAAAAAGGGAGGTTTTGTTCTCTACTACAAAAATAACATATAACCATAGTAATTTTAACCCAGTAAAAAAACAGTAAATTCCAGGCAACATTGTAACTACAGTAACTAAAGTAACCAAGTAATTTAGAAAACCATAGAAATAGCATTTTCCAGCAACATTGTAACTACAGTAAATAAAGTAACCATAGTAAAAAGTAACCAAGTAAAAAACTAACAACTAATTCCAGGGGGACATAGAATGACCCCGGTTTTGGTTGATCTGACGGTAATGAAAAGTGAAAAGAACTTTTCCCGGGGGGGCTGGGTATTAAAAGTTGGGAGGGTCTTGTATTCTTTGATAGTCTCCTTCAATATCGCAGAATTTTCCTTTTTAATTACAACAGGTTTCAACTTCATTTTTTAATTTAAGCCCCTTTGGGGCTTGTAAGGATATTTCTTTAAAAAAATTTATTAGCGTGTCTTTAAATTTCCCTTTTTAATTCGCGTCTCTTATTTAAAGATTAACGTGAGCCCCCATCCCCCCCCCCCCCCCCCCGGGTTTTTAATTTGCCTCCCCACCAAAATATGTACTTAATAACAACACTTTTTCAAGATACCGACACCATAAAAAGTCAATGTTACCATGTGTGGTTAAACCAACATTTTTTTTAAAGGAACTTTAGGGCCCCCCAGATACGTGCGAGCGGGTAATAATTGGAATTTAAAATGAACACAACCCAAATAAAATACTCTTTATATGCGTTCCAGTAAAATTATCCCGTGTTTTAAAGGCGTTTTTAAGACCTTGCAGTTGTCACCCTTTCCCTTTTAATTTTACTTCCCATTAACCCCCTTTAAAATGTTAAAACACCCTTTTCCATTAAGTTTTCCAAATTTTGTTCGCACATTTTTTTTTTAACCAAAAAAATTTTAATTTTTAATAAACGGGGTATTTGGGGAAAATTTTGGGAAAAAAGATTTATCAACAATTTTTTTTTTGTCCTGTTTTTAAAAATCCCCAATTTTTAACATAATTTTTTTTCAGAAAATGTAAATTAAGTTTAAAGGTTTTTTTGGGTAAGCCCCTATGGTTCAAAAAAAAAATAAAATCGGTTTTTAAAAAAAAGATTTTTTAGCCTCTTAAAATACCGGCTTAAACGGATTTAATGGAAAAATAAAAAATTTGGGTATTCTAAACTTTTTTTTTTATAAATCCCCAAGGTCTAAATTTTTTCCTTTTATCAACCTTACCGTTTATTTACGAATTAGCCTAAAAATACTATACTATTGCCAGGGGAAGAAAAACTGTCAAAATAAATTTTGTTATTTGGGACTTTTTTTTTTTTAGTTAATGTTTTTCAATTTTTTGGGAAATAAAATTTCCCGAAAAAATAAAATTTCCTATATATACTTTCACCAAGCTTGTTTTAAAAAACTTAAAAAGGGGATAACATTTTGGTTTTAAGCTTTTTTTAAAAAACATTAATTAAAATTAAATAACTACGTATCTATAATTATATTTTTGGACACGCAATATCTCTTTTCTTAACAACATATGGGGAACAAAAATTGATAATTTTATTTTTCCCCTATTTTCTTTAACCCACAGGGTTTTAAGCTCTTTTTGATTTAATTTCAGGGGAACCCCAAAAAAACTGATTAAATAATTTTAAAGTTTAAAAAAAGAGCCTTTACCTGTTTTTTAAATTTTTTGAGGGATGAATTCAAAATAATTTTAATTATTTTGTGTATGTGGGGGGTTTAAACCGTAAATTTTCCATAGTAACCCCCCAGTATTGGGGGATTTTTGGGCAGATTTAAATACATTCTAGAATTTTTTACCACGTACACATTAGATATCGTTGCGTCATTGACTACTTATCCCATCACCATACCTAATTTTAAAAACCACATCACCATGACCATTCAACCCCCTCGTTTGTTTGTTTTTTTTTGTTGGTTTGTCCTTTGTTTTGGTTTTTTTGGGTTTTTTTCCCGCCCAAAAAACGACTTTTAAAAAAGAAAGGGATACTGCAATAAATTGCCCCCAACAGATGGGGGGTAAACCTAAAAGTTAGTGTAAAAATGGGCCTTGAACCCAGATCATGGTACCTGGTGAACCAGATGGCAGTGAGACTACCTGGTGAACCAGATAGTTTTAATGTTTCAGTATCTGTACGTAAGCAATAAATAATTAGAGAGTAGAAGATCTTGTTTGTGAGATAAGGATTTATTACACATTGTTCAATTTTATCCTCAGTTGACTTAGCCGAAAGATCGGGAAACTGTGATTGAGGGTTAAATGAGTAGCTCCAGCAAACTAAGGCTGTTTACATTGAGTAGCAGTACGTAGTATTTCAACTAGCCAATTGCAATATGCATTCATTTCCTGTAGTAAACGTAGAGGTTTATCAGGGAGAGACATGAACTTGGTGAGCTTACTAGGGAGAGACTACTTGAACTTGGCGGCTTATCTTTGTTCGATATCTTGAATTACATTCAGATGATAGGGCATAGCATTTCACAATTTAGGCCCTTGAACTGCTAATGAATTGTAAAACAAGGTGAGGTTTCGTGCTGAACTGGTTCTACGTTTTGATGGGCGACAAAAAAATGTAACGTTCTGATCGTTCAGCTGGTTTTTTGTTTAAAATTTCCACATGTGAAGAATAAAAATCGCATTCGTTGAAGAGACATCAGAGCTAAGGGGGATAAGTGTAGTTGTACCATGCGACCCAGGTAGCGGAGATAGCTTATTTCTGATATTCTAACGGTGAACGCTTTTAATACACTCCAGTTCTTGGATTTTCGAGGGGTGCCAAAATGGAGAATAATACTTAGTTACTAAGTTTGAAATTAGCAACCACGTTACTGATTAGTATCCAAGTCTGAAACTGGTTACTGCGGTAAACTGGCTTACTAAAATAGGACTGATTATGTAACTATCAGGTTACTTGATTGCTAACTAACCGCTATCTCAGTTGCTTCTGTGGGTGTCTAAGTAACCAGGTAACTAAGTAACCAGGTAACTAAGTAACCAGGTAACTAAGGTTACTTGATTGCTAACTAGCCGCTATCTCAGTTGCCTCTGTGGGTGTCGGTGTTGGACTCTGTATCTCTGTGAAGGAGGACGCTGAGTGGTATTTCAACGAAGCGCTCGGAAGGTCACTGTCTAGAGTTCTCCGAGAAGACGTGAGTACTAGTAGCAGTAATTAGTCAGTTGTAATTAGTAATTAGCAGTAATTAGTAAGTAGTAATTAGCAGTAATTAGTAATTAGTCATTAGTCATTAGTCATTCGTCATTGTTATGTTTACTAGCTGTAGTGTTATGTAACCAGCAGTTGTGAAAATGTTACACATGTTATAATAACTATACAGTATATTTTCTGACCCTAAATTCCCTTTAAAATCTGCAGTTCCAACTGAATATCGACATGTTGAGTATCAACCTGAAGTCAGCTGAGCTGGTCACCATGCAGATCGGAGTTAGCGCTATCTTCGTCATCGCTGCCTGCTTCCTCATGCTCGTCGCCACTGTACTTGCAGGTAAATACTGTACTAGTTGCCATGGTAACTGCAGGTAAATACTATACTAGTTGCCATGCCATGGTAACTGCAGATTCGGGGTGTAAATGAATCTTTCTACTAAATAGGCTGACTTGGTGATATAGGTTGGTATTTCTGTGGCAGGGAAATGAAACGGTGCATAGAGGTGCTACTAATATTGTGAAATACAGCTTTTTCATTTTATTTAACATTTTTGTTATATATTTCAGAACTGAGCAGGAACCTAAACTGATAACTTCACTTCCGGGCTCAACACAAAGGGAAATATTCAGACTCAGCTATCATGGTTACCATGGTTACTCCTACTCCCAGCAATATACAAAACTGTACATTAAAGCCTATGTATATTGTATAAACGTAATCAAATATTTACAATTTGCAAAATGGACTACGAAATGCTAAGAAAATACGCACACCATATTTTCAATGCAAAGAGGTTATTCTGCTGACCCTGAAGGTGTTTCCATGGTTCCATTGTATTTTAGAAAATATTCACATCTATTTTATGTTTAAAATTATCTACGGACTTAACTTTTTCAGTTTTTTTTT